TGCCCTGTCCCAGTAAAAAACCTTCACGCACCGGTATGAGGGCCCCCGACCCAGTATGGAACCCTCATGCACCAGTATAGAACCTTCACGCACCGGTATGAGGGCTCCCGTCCCAGTAAGGAACCTTCACGCGACAGTGTGAGGGCTTCCGTCCCAGTAAGGAACCTTCACGCGCCAGTGTGAGGGCCCCCGTCCCAGTAAGGAACCTTCACGCGCCAGTATGAGGGCCCCCGTCCCAGTAAGAAACCTTCACGCGCCGGTATGAGGGCCCCCGACCCAGTATAGAACCGTCATGCACCAGTATAGAACCTTCATGCACCGGTATGAGGGCTCCCGTCCCAGTATGGAACCTTCATGCGCCAGTATGACGGCCCCCGTCCCCGTAAGGAACCTTCACGCGCCAGTATGAGGGCCCCCGTCCCAGTAAGAAACCTTCACGCGCCGGTATGAGGGCCCCTGACCCAGTATGGAACCCTCACGCACCAGTATAGAACCTTCACGCACCGGTATGAGGGCTCCTGTCCCAGTAAGAAACCTTCACGCACCGGTATGCGGGCCCCCAACCCAGTATGGAACCCTCACGCACCAGTATAGAACCTTCACGCACCGGTATGAGGGCTCCTGTCCCAGTAAGAAACCTTCACGCACCGGTATGCGGGCCCCCAACCCAGTATGGAACCCTCACGCACCAGTATAGAACCTTCACGCACCGGTATGAGGGCTCCTGTCCCAGTAAGAAACCTTCACGCACCGGTATGCGGGCCCCCAACCCAGTATGGAACCCTCACGCACCAGTATAGAACCTTCACGCACCGGTATGAGGGCTCCTGTCCCAGTAAGAAACCTTCACGCACCGGTATGCGGGCCCCCAACCCAGTATGGAACCCTCACGCACCAGTATAGAACCTTCACGCACCGGTATGAGGGCTCCTGTCCCAGTAAGAAACCTTCACGCACCGGTATGCGGGCCCCCAACCCAGTATGGAACCCTCACGCACCAGTATAGAACCTTCACGCACCGGTATGAGGGCTCCCGTCCCAGTATGGAACCTTCATGCGCCAGTATGACGGCCCCCGTCCCCGTAAGGAACCTTCACGCGCCGGTATGAGGGCCCCTGACCCAGTATGGAACCCTCACGCACCAGCATAGAACCTTCACGCACCGGTATGAGGGCTCCTGTCCCAGTAAGAAACCTTCACGCACCGGTATGAGGGCCCCCAACCCAGTATGGAACCCTCACGCACCAGTATAGAACCTTCACGCACCGGTATGAGGGCCCCCATCCCAGTAAGAAGCCTTCACGCACCGGTATGAGGGCCCCTGACCCAGTATGGAACCCTCACGCACCAGTATAGAACCTTCACGCACCGGTATGAGGGCTCCCGTCCCAGTATGGAACCTTCACACACCAGTATGAGGGCCTCCGTCCCAGTATGGAGCCATCCCATACCACTGTGAGGGTCCCCATCCCAGTCCTGAGCACCCCCCCCCCCCCCCTGTCCCGGTATGGAACCCATACACACCAGCATCCATCCCGGTATGGAGCTTTCCCGCACCGGTATGAGGGCTTCTGTGTGCTCGTGCAAGCTCGTGCAAAGCTCTCTGTGCTTGTGCATGCTCGTGCTCGTGCAAGGCTGTGTGCACTTGTGCAAGCTCGTGTGAGGCCGTGTGTGCTCGTGCAAGGCTGTGTGTGCTTGTGCACACTCGTGCGAGGCTGTGCATGCTTGTGCAATGCCATGTGTGCTCGTGCAAGGCTGTGTGTGCTCGTGCAAGGCTGTGTGTGCTTGTGCACGCTCATGCGAGGCTGTGTGTGCTTGTGCAAGGCTGTGTGTGCTTGTGCAAGCTTGTGCGAGGCCGTGTGTGCTTGTGTAAGGCTGTGTGTGCTTGTGCATGCTCGTGCAAGCTCACGCGAGGCCATGTATGCCCATGTGAGGCCGTGCAGGGCTGCATGTCTTTGTGCATGCTTGTGCAAAGCCGCATGTGCTTGTGACAGGCCACGCATATTGTGTGTGCTCATGCAAGGCGTGCTTGGGTGTGCTTGTGCAAGGCTGTGCTCGTGCAAGCTTGTGCAAGGCCACGTGTGCTTGTGTGAGGCTGTGCACCACCAGGCATGTTTGTGCGTGCTCGTGCAAGCTCATATGAGGCCGTGCAAGGCCGTGTGTGCTCGCGCAAGCTTACGCAAGGTTGTGCACCCCAGGGATGCCAATGCCACGGGGCAAAAAATACGGAAAAAGCCCAATTTCCCCCAGTTCCTCCCCAAATCAGCCCCGTAGGATCTCTGCCCTCGTGATGGCAGTGCCAGGCGCTTGATCTTTGCTCCATCTCCTTTATTGTCCCCTCCCCAACTCTCCTGACATTTGTATTTCTTTTTTTTTTTTTTTTCTCCCAGTTTTACAGGTTGGAGGTGCCAGTGGAGCAGCCAATTCAGCCCAGCATCACCCCCAGCACCCTGTGACCCGGCCCAGATGAGACCCAGCATCTCATCTGCTTCTAAATGTCTAATTTTTTGGGAAAAAAAAGAATCCAACTGGTTCTTTTGTCCCACCGCCCCCAGCCCCGATGGCTCCAGGAGGGAGCAAGCAAAAATGCCCCATTTGGGTCAACATTTATTTAACAAACTCCCTTCCTTGCAAATGCTGGTGGATTTTATTTTTTTT